TTTCTGAGTTTTGAGAAGTGGGCCCGGGGCTCGGGTTTTTCAAATTTCGGGATTTTTGGTATTTTTCTATTGTTTTCGCTTGGGCTTTGTTCCCTTAGCATATTGTGACGTATTCGTTCAGATTTTGACTAGATTCACCGGTTTGAGGTTAGTAACCATTGTAAATTTGGAACCGAGGGTACACAACCTTGGTATTTGACTTGATTTGATAAAAACAGTGACGCACATGCTAGGTGACGAGCGTATGGGCGTGCACCGGTAGGGGATTGTGACTTGGTCCGTCCCGTAGCGACTATTAAGCCACGTATTTTATTTTGAAATGTTATATTGTTCCGTATTTTGGATTCTCATACTGTATTATGGGATGTATGCCGTGTTTGGGGCATTGTGCCGACCTGTAGAAACCCTTAGGGGCATTTTAACTGTTTTCCTCACTTTACTTGTTAAAAAAGCATATCCTCAGTCATGTTTTATACCTGTTAAATGTTTAACACTGGTTTTATCATTCTACTCCTATTGTGAGGACTGTTTGGGCTGAGTTCCCTAATTTCTGTCGTGATGCCTGAGAGGCTATTAGGCTAATGACTGAGAGAGGTTGAGAACCTTATGGTGAGGATATTATATGTATATATTATGGGCGGGTTGCACGCCGCAACGATATATATATATATATATATATATATATTGGATCGGGCTGCACGCCGCAGCGATATTACGTTTGGGCTGTAGGAGCCCCTCCAGAGTCTGCACGCCCCTAGTGAGCGTAGTCGACTATAAATACATGGATCGGGCTGCGCGCCGCAGCGGTTATTATGATTTCTATTATTATGAGTTAATACTGAGCCGAGTGCTGATAGTGAATATTGTGTGACTAGAGTTGAGTCACGTGTGACTGAGAGGCTACCCGAGAGGCTATGTTTTGAGTGATTTCTTGCCCAAGGGGCCCTGTTATGATGTTTCTACTATTTTCACTCTTCTTACAAATAAGCCTCTGTTGGATATATAGTCAAGTTACTGATTTCAAAGTTTAAAACTAAAAATGATGAATTTATGACAGAACTGATTTTAAAGTTATATTTTTTGAACTGCTCGTCACTGCTTTCATTCTATTATTTACTTTACTTACTTACTGAGTTGGCTTACTCACATTACTCCCTGCACCTTGTGTGCAGATCCAGGTGCCCGAGCGGCCGAGTGAGAGCCTTCAGCTATTTTCCAGCATTTGCCGGAGATTTCGAGGTAGCTGCACGGCGTCCGCAGCCCTGATTTCTCCCTTCTATCTTATTATTTTTCCGCATTTCTAGACTATCTATGTAGTAGGTTGTTAGACCTATAATAGAGGCTCTAGACTCGTGACACCAGATCAGTGTGGGCTGTATAGTCTTTCATGTTTTTGTTAACTTCCGCATATCTACCTTGCTGTTTTAAACACTTGTTATGATAATTGGTAATTAAACCGTGTTAGCAAATGACTTATTAAATGAAAATGGGTTGTGGTTTGATAGTTGGTCTGGCTTGCATAGTAATGTGATAGGCGCCATCACGACCGGTATTTGGGATCGTGATAGAAGCAATTAAGGGAGAGGGTGGAGATATACTGACCTCCTCTTGAGCAGCTAACCAAACGAGTGTTCACGTTAGCCATTTAGGAACCAAAGCTTAGATTTTTACCAGCGAAAAACTAAGAGGCAAAAGAAAGAGAGAAGAAGAGATTGAGTGAAGACTCAGAATTTCAATCGAAAAGCTTAAGCAAAAATCTATTGTATCTTCAATTTTCGAAAGAAAGTTAGGTGTATTAGTTATGTATATTTAAGATTTTAGGTACTCTAGGTGAGAACATTAAAGCTCATATTTATAGTGGCAATTGAGCCATTAGGGTTTCAGCGAATTCAAAATGGTAGTGGAGAGTGACGATAGATTGATGATGTGAGCATAGTCGCACTACAACATAAGGTATTTATAGCTACAAAACATATCGTAGCAAATGATGAAAATTTTCGTGGCTAAACACTTTAGCTACAATATTTTTTTTCGTAGCATTCGTAACAAAATATAGCGTAGCTAAAAGTTAGCTACAAACTTTGCATGGTCCGTGGCTAAGGATTGATACTTATTGCTACGAAATTTTTGTATTGTAGCTATGTATATAGCAAATAATTTTATAATTTTACCACGACAAATACATTTATAGCAAATAATTTTATACTCTTGCCACGACAAATAAATTTGTAGCTATCTTTATATGGTAGTCACAAAGTGTTATAGCGTGGCAAAAGATTTAAATTTATTTCCCACGAAAATTTAGATATGTAACTGCTTACATATAGTCGTCCATGGCGAAAATATTTTTATCTAGCTACGGACTAAAAGTTCCATGGCTACAAATCATAAAAAGTCGTGATTAGATTATTTTATTATATTTTAATATTTTGACAAAAAAGTTAATTTATTATAGTGACAGTTCCTATCACAAATCCCCTGTTTCTTAGCTATTTAATTTTTTTTTTGTAAAATATTTTAATTAGTCTGTGGATGTGCATAATATATTAAAACTAATAACATATGAAGCTCGAATAATAATTTATTCTGCACAAATTGGCAGTTAAAAATTTTCACAAAATAAATTCTAAAATATACATTTGTACTAATCAATTAATAGCATCTGCAATAGATAAATCTTCTACAATAACTAACATTTGTAAAAAAGAACTAGCCAATGTAAGGCTTGATTGTAACAAAGATCAGAAATAATGTACATAATTTCACATTAAATGAACATAGTATTTGCTTGATGATTCATGTGGCCACCCTTATTGCATCTTCATGCATCCAAGAATATATGAAGCACTTTCCATAATCATTATACTAAAATAATGAAATAACATGATCTTGTGAGAAACTTATATTTGAATTATCAAAATATATGCCGATTTAAATACATGTACAGTTAGTACAACAACAACAACATACCTAGTATTATACCACACCGTGGGGTCTGGGGAGGGTAGTGTGTACGCAGACCTTACTCCTACCTCTGAGAATAGAGAGGTTGTTTCCAATAGACTCTCGGCTCAGGAACATAATAATGACTTTTTCTATACCTGAGAATTTTCGATGGCCAGTCGTGCAAGGTTCGAAACCCAGAAAAAGACATAATAATGACTATTGTAATGCAAGAATTATAATGAACATATTTTACCCGGGCTACTTAGCTGAAGGACTTGAGTTGGCAGTTTGTTTATGATAACACACTTCTTCTTTTTTTCTTTAACACACTTCTTCTACTCATCCCCGTTTCGACCTGCCATTTGACACCCTTATGGGATATCAGTTGATACCTAATTGATATGTTCACCCCCCCCCCCCAAAAAAAAACCCCACTTTCTGTTTGTTTACTTAGTTTTCCACTTTTTACACTATATTTTCAATTATGGAGGTCAAACTATACTATATCTGAAAGTATATCAGCCAACAAGGTTATTTTTAATCGAAACCATATAGTTACAAGGAAATTGATTGTGCTCATCTCCAGCTCAATACTTATAAATGAAAGCACTCAGGATTAGTTGGATTAAAAAATTCAAGTATTAGTTCATCACTGAACGCTTCTTTCTTCTGTTCTTCCCCACCCCTTTAACATTCTCATATATTTTCCTCTTCGGTTGTATTCCTTCCTAGATTCTGCAGTTTTGAATTTTGAGGGTTATACAAAAGAACTTATTGAAACAGAATTTTGTAATATTCCGTGAAACTTCAAATTATCCCTCTTCCCCATCGATCTTGAAATTCTAATTTTCTTGAAGTTGTTGCTGATCAGATAATACCGAAAAATCCTGCTTACATCCTTGTGATTCTTTTCTCCTTCTTGTTTTAATTATTTTATTCTTCATAGTATTATTTTGATCTTTTGGAATTAGGATTTTCGAAAACCTCTTTTTAACTTTTTTGCAGTTAGTCTCTATTTTGTTGTTCGTCTATAGGACTGATTTCTGGGGGGGTTTTCCATACTCTATGCCGGCGGAAATCCATCAGTTGCAAAACAATTCCTTTCTTTTCTTCTCTTTTGATTTTTATTTTAATAACGAATACGATCTTCTTGACTGTTACAGTGTCAATAAACGGTAATCTTGTGTATTGACGTTCCTTTAAGTGTGTCGTCACTAGATTCGCGTTTTTCTGCCGCTGGTAACGGTGACAGTCCGGCCCGCCTGTATTTTTCTTGGATACGTGGGTGTTTGTGTGTTTTGCAGGTATCACATTTGTGGCTGTTTGGTGGCGGTAGGGAGGTGCACACGCACAAGCAGTAGAGTAGCAGTTATACGCTAGGTTCCGCAGCATCTGGAGTATACCAAGTCGAAAGATCCAAGTTCTATTCATGGGAATTGATCATATCAGCAGTATTCAGCGGATTTGTAAGCGCGTCCCGACTGTGATCCAGGTTCCATCTTTCTTGAATTGTATTTGCGCACATCTATTTACTGTTGCCTTGCTGGCAGTTTTGATTAGATTGATTGTTTTTTCTATCTTTTCTACTAGTGTTTTAAGCTTAAGGTTTCATCTATTTATTTTAATCCCGTGTTTGCATAGGGTTAATTTCGTGGACGTGGTAGATTCATTGTTCCAGTGCCTGCTCGCGTTACTGTTCTCGTAGTCGCCCCGTTGAGTTGTTTTTAGCTCTCGGGTTCATAGCATGTAGTCCTTCGTCCCCATTATTGGTTCTTAGTGGTAGTGTTTACCCAATAGCTTTTGTTTATAGTGGCGGTAGTGGACGATGTGAGAGTAAGGTCATGTCCTCGGGTGGGGCTGGGAGTGGGGTCCAAGGGTGGGAAGGGGGGGTAAGAAAGCCTCTAGGTTGAGAATTGGGTCTTGGAACATTGGACGTTGACGGGGAAGTCTATAGAGTTAGGTAAGATTCTTCAGAAGTGGAATATTAATATAGCGTGTATTTAGGAGACTAGATGGAAGGGTACTAGGGCACGAGATGTAGACGGATATAAACTATGGTACTCAGGGAGCGCTGGGGTAAGAATGGGGTAGGTATTTTAGTAGACAGGGACCTCAGGGAGCTCGTGGTTGAGGTTAGGAGGGTAAATAATAGGTTGATGAGTATTAAGTTGGTAGTTGGTGGGTTTACTGTAAATGTGATTAGTGCTTACGCTCCTCAGGTAGGTTTGGACCAGGAGGTCAAGAAGCAATTCTGGGAGGATTTGGAGGAGATGGTGTGTAGTATCCCGCACACAGAGAAGTTGTTCATTGGCGGAGATTTCAATTGTCATATTTGGGCTATTGCTANCTTACGCTCCGTCAGGTAGGTTTGGACCAGGAGGTCAAGAAGCAAGTTCTGGGAGGATTTGGAGGAGATGGTGTGTAGTATCCCGCACACAGAGAAGTTGTTCATTGGCGGAGATTTCAATTGTCATATTTGGGCTATTGCTAGGGGTTATGATGATGTGCATGGCGGGTACGGTTTTGGGGTTAGGAATGAGGGAGGTAATTCACTATTGGATTTTGCTAGAGCTTTTGATTTGGTTATAGCTAACTCGAGTTTTCCGAAGAGGGAAGAGCACCTGGTCACTTTATTCAATGGGCAAGACTCAAATTGATTATCTTCTTTGTAGGAAATGTGATAAAGGTCTGTGCACTGACTGCAAGGTCATCCCAAGTGAGCACCTCACGACTCTACATAGGCTCCTAGTTATGGACCTGGAGAACAAGAGGAGTAGGAGGAAGAGGGCAGGGTGCGGGCAACCTAAGATCAAGTGGGGTAACTTGACCAAGGACAAAGCTCAGGAGTTAAGGGAGAAGTTGTTGGCTATGAGGGCCTGGATGAGTAGGGGGACACGTCTAGTATGTGGTTCACGACTGCGGATTGCATTAGGGTAGCTGCTAGAGAGGTCTTAGGGGTCATGAAGGGCTCTCCTGGGTGTCATAAAGGGGACTGGTGGTGGATTGGAGAGGTTCAAGGTAAAGTGGAAGCTAAGAAATCTGCTTATTTGAAGCTAGTAGAGAGTACAAACGAGGAGGAAAAAAGGACTTATCGGGAGTGTTACAGAAAGGCAATGAAAGAGGCGAAGTTAGCAGTTACGACGGCTAAGAACACGACATTTGCGCGTTTGTACGAGGAGCTCGAGGGCAAAGGCGGGGACGAGAGGTTGTACCGGTTGGCCAAGGTGAGGGAGAGGAAAGCCCGCGACTTAGACCAAGTCAAGTGCATCAAGGACGAGGATGGAAAAGTGTTGTTGGACGAGGCACTTAATAGGAGAAGATGGCAGACATACTTCCATTAATTGTTGAATGAGGAGGGGGATAGACGCATTGTGCTGGGTGAGTTGGAGCACTCCGAGAGTCGGCGGGATTTTGGGTATTGTAGGCGGATTACGGTAGAGGAGGTGGAAGGGGCGATGCGTAACATGTGCAGGGGCAGAGTGACGGGGCCAGACGAAATCCCGGTAGAATTCTAGAAGAGCGCGGGGCGAGCAAGTTTGGAGTGGCTCACTGGGCTGTTTAATGTTATTTTTAAGACAAAGAAGATGACCGAAGAATGGAGGTGGAGTACGATGGTTCCGCTTTACAAGAACAAGGGTGATATCCAAAATTGCAATAATTATAGGGGTATAAAGCTGTTGAGTCACACTATGAAGGTTTGGGAGAGGGTGGTGGAGCCCAGGGTGAGGAGGTGCGTCTCTATTTCTCAGAATCAGTTTGGATTCATGCCGGGGCGTTCGACTACGGAAGCGATTCATCTGGTAAGGAGATTAGTGGAGCAGTACAGGGAGAGAAAGAAGGATTTGCATATGGTGTTTATTGACCTTGAGAAAGCATACGATAAAGTTCCGAGGGAGGTCCTGTGGAGGTGTTTGGAGGTTAGCGGTGTTCCGGTAGCATACATTAGTGTGATTAAGGATATGTATGATAATGCTAAGACTCGGGTGAGGACTGGGGTGGTGACTCGGAGCATTTCCCTGTGGTGATGGGGTTGCACTAGGGATCGGCTCTTAGCCCATTTTTATTTGCCTTGGCGATGGATGTATTGTCGCGCCACATCCAAGGGGAGGTGCCTTGGTGCACGCAATTTGTCGATGATATAGTGTTGATTGACGAGATGTGTAGAGGAGTTAACGCGAGGTTGGAGGTTTGGAGACAGACCTTGGAGTCTAAAGGTTTCAAACTGAGTAGAACCAAGACAGAATACTTGGAGTGCAAGTTCAGTGACGGGAACCATGATGCAGACGTAGAGGTTAAGCTTGATGCGCAAGTTATCCCCAAGAGAATGAGTTTTAAGTATCTCGGGTCTATTATCCAGGTTAACGGGGAGATTGACGAAGATGTTGCACCTCGCATTGGAGCGGGATGGATGAAGTGGAGTCGCTTCCGGTGTTTTGTGTGATAGGAATGTGCTGCTAAGACTTAAGGGTAAGTTTTATAGAGTGGTGGTTCGACCAACTGTGCTGTATGGGGCTGAGTGTTGGCCAGTCAAGAACTCCCACGAGCAGAAGATGAGAGTAGCAGAGATGAGGATGTTGAGATGGATGTGTGGGTGTACCAGGAGAGATAGGATTAGGAATGAAGATATCCGGGACAGAGTGGGAGTAGCCTTCGTGGAGGACAAGATGCGGGAGTCGAGGCTGAGATGGTTCGGACATGTTAAGAGAAGAAGCATTTATGCTCCAGTTAGGAGGTGTGAGAGGTTGGCCATGGAGAGTTTGAGAAGAGGTCGAGGTAGGCCTAAGAAGTATTGGGGAGAGGTGATTAGGCAGGACATGGCACTGCTTTAGCTCACTGAGGTCATGACCCTTGATAGGAGAGTGTGGAGTTCGAGGATTAAGGTAGAAGGTTAGTAGGTAGTTTATAGTTGTTCACCGATAGTCTTAGTAGTATGAATGTCCCTTCATATTCTTAGATTTTTATTATGTTATGTGGTTTTGTTCGCCTTAGGTATTGTATTCCCTGTTGCTATTATTTGGTACCACTTATCCTTTATCTCTCCCTTTTTCTTTTATCTTCCATCTTTCTTCCTCCCTTGCTTTCCTCTTCTTCTTTTTGCCCTTCCTGAGCCGAGGGTCTATTGGAAACAGCCTCTCTACTTGTATTAGGTAGGGGTAAGGTCTGCGTACAGACTACCCTCCCCAGACCCCACTTGTTGGGATCAAACTGGGTTTGTTGTTGTTGTTGTTGTAATAAATTATGGAATAAGAAAATACTTGGCCATGAATTAAGTGAAAAACTCTAAACTCTTTTCCAACACAGAAGACAAAAGAATATGCATTTAAATAAACATCACAAACTTAAGGAGATGAAACAATGAAGTAAAGCTCACAGTTTGGCATTAGAAGAGATTGAAATTTCTCAAAGGCACATTTCTCTTGAGCACCCTATAAATCAAAAACAAATAATTGAAGCAAAACCCCAAGTTAATTAGGTGTAAGGCACAAAACCTATCAGATCTTTAACATCGCACTCACCACTTATAAAAAATAAGGCATAATATCTATCAATTGCTAGAATAACTCATAAAAATTGAACTTAAAAACCCAAACCCAAGAAGTGTAAGGAGATTCAAAAACCCTACGATATGGAGATATGAGCTTATGTGGGAAGAGACAAACCAATAAGTTAATTTTTTTGTCCGTAAATGAGAAGCAGTGGAGATACATTCTTACTCCTCTTTGTCTTTCTCATAGATTTAAATTAACGCTCACTACTGTGGATGAAAGAATTAAGAAAAGGGGGAAGAGAGTGGCGGCCGAGGAAGAGGAAAAGTTTAGGTTTTGGTTTGGTGGTTTAGGTTTAATTCGTCCCTTTTCATATATATTTTGCTTTGTTTTACTTTTTTTTATTGGTTCAAGCTTTGTTTTACTTTTCTTTTCTATTATATAGAAGAGAAGGAGTTTCGACATGTATGTTTCATGTCTTTTTTATAAAGCTCGACGGTAATTTAGTCATTTCACATAAGCTCCTAAAAATTTCATATACGTGGCTGGGTTTGTGTACGCAAAACTATACGTGTAATTTTTATATGATTACACCTGTATTTTAAGAAGATAACACGATAGGTTTTAAATTAATTTCTTTCAGATTACTTCTCGATTTACAGTCTTCCATGTTCCTCTTCTCGCTCAAATTGCAGGTATATTTCACTTTCAATCAATTTTTCCCATATTTTTTTCTCCTTTTTCCTTTGTTCTTTTCGCTCGGGGTTTTTCTCCATCTGCTATGAATTGTGTTGAGTTTCTCTGCACTCTGTTGGTATGTTGGCAGATATGTGTTGGTTTCCTTCAAACAAGAATTTGGTAAAGCACAAACAGTCTATGTATTGCTTTCTATTTTCTTGATTTCTCAGTTGCGTGTCCCTTATTAATCTTTTTGTTTCTATTATTTTGCGCCTTTCTCCAATTTTTTGAGTTGCGCTTCCCTATTTCTGATGCTTTTGTTGTTTTGTTTATTTCATCAGAAATAGTTTAATTCTCATTCTTTCGCTCAAGTACTTTGTTATTTTAGTTTTATTTTCAGTTTTCATCTGGTACTTAATTCTTCATTTTTAGTTGCAGTTATCTGATAGTGTTGGTGATTTATTATCTCCCGGTTTCCTACTTCTCCTTCTTGACTATGCGAACCAAGTAAACGTTCAGAGTGATTCGTCTAGGGTATAAGCAGGGTTGCAGTTTTCATATCGCTGATTGGCAATTTTGAGGTACAACCCTTTTAATTATAGTAATGGATGGAAGTTTACATGGGCAAATACTGAGATGTGGATTGAATGTGATTTGGAGTTACCTTTTGTAGTCTTAAATATTAGCTCCTCCGTTTACCAGTTCTTCGTCTTCTTTTTTCTTCAATATCGCTCTCTATATTGATTATCATCTCCATTCTCTTGCTTCATCTCACCCAATTCTCTGTTTTTGTTGTCTTCCTTCTTCCATTGTAATCTGGCCAACGTTTCGTGCAATTCCGAGCCCTTTCCATCACTCCATCAGCCCTGCTTTCCACCAAGAGATTGGAAGGTGCAACTCAAAGAGAGAAAATTGCTTTCTTCTTGTGTTGGTCTGGAATCTTTAATCTGGAATTCATAATTTTTCCTGGAAAAAAAAATTCCCCCAATTTCATCCATCAAAATCCTAACTCAAAATTTTTCCAAATCTTCTTGAATATATGCAAAATCAATATTTGATCCAGTTTAATTTCACGATTTTAAGGTAAAGCTCCATTCTTTAATGTTTTTTATTCCATTCGGGAGGCTTTTATGTAACATTTTGGGTTATTAATTTTCTTTTGATTTTATAAATATTGTTCTGCTTTCAATTTTTCAGTTTGTCCTGTATCTCTATTTGACCAAGTAACTGTTTGTAACGACCCGACCGGTCGTTTTTGGCCCTAGCGCATCGTTCAGTAGTCTGAGGGCATGAGTAGCTTCATTTTAGGTGTTAAGACTTGTACGCGTGGTCGGAATTGAATTTCAGGAAATTCGGAGTTGATTTGGGAAGAGAATTCTCATTTTGGAAGCTTAAAGTTGAAAGAATTAACTAGGATTGGATTTTTGAGTAAACGACCTCGGAATCGGGATCTGAAGGTTCCACAAGGTTCGTACGATGATTTCGGACTTGGGCGTATGCCCGGTTCGGGTTTTCGATAACCCGGGAGCGTTTTGGCGCCTATTGTGGAAGTTAGCATTTTTGAAGAAATTTCACAAGTTTGGCTTGAAGTGCATTTCAGTGTTATCGATGTCCGTTAGGGATTCCGAGTAGGTGAATAGCTCCGTATGGTGATTCTGGAGTTGGGAGTGCGATCGAAAGTGAATTCGGAGGTCCGTAGGTCATTTTGGAGTCATTTGGCTAAAGATAGAAATTTGAAGGTTTTTTAGAAGTTTTACCGGAAGTGGACTTTTT